GACCGGCTCTTCGCAGAGTTCGGGCTGAGGTGGGGGCCGGGGTTGGGGTGCTGGGGTGGGGGTGGCTGCGCCAGGGCTGGAGGAGCCTCACAGTCCCCCCGGCTCTCCAGCTACGTGTCCTCACTGGTGGCAGTGAAGTCTCCTGAGGAGATCTACAGGCAGCAGGAGATCATCGTGCTCTTCTGCGAGACAGTGGAGAGGTGAGGGGCACCGCGTACCGGGTAGGGGGGTGGCAGGGACCTCAGCCCCAGGGATGCGGCAGCGTCCCAGGGCTCAGCCCTGCTGTAAGGGTGTCCCCCCCAGAGCCCTGCGCCTGGGCTACCTGACCCAGGAGATGATCGATGGCTATGAACCGCTGCTGATGTTCACCATCCCTCGCCTGGCCATTATCAGGTGGGTGCAGCCCCCTGGAGAAGGGGGTGCCCAGGGGCGGCTGGGTGCTCTCCACCCTGTACCAGCCCCTTCCCCCCTCGGGGAGTTGGGGCCTTGGGAAGCTCCCCCGGCATGAACCGAGCTCTGTCCCCTCGCAGTGGCCTCCTCATCTACCCCGAGGGTCCCCTCAGCCTGGAGCAGAGCCCTGAGCAGATGTCCCGGGTCTTCAGCCCCTTCTACAACCTCCTGAAGAAGATCAGGTGGGGGGGCGATGGGCGCCCGTGGGTGAGGCTGTGGGGCAGCAGTGGGGCTGTGACGTGGGGCTGACACCGTCCCCTCGCTGCAGGGACCTGCTGCGGGTGCTGTCAGAGGAGGAGCTCTGCCTGCTGGAGAGGAGCCTGTGTACAGCTGAATCGGAGGATCCCTGCGGTCCGGCCACCCCCCCAGCTTGGGGGGCAGCTGTCCCCAGAGCGGACCCCCCTGCTCCCTGGGGTCTCCTGGAGGTCCCCTGTGCCGCCCCACCGCCCCGCACCTGCATGGCGTGGCTGGGACCCCCTGGTGCAGTGGACGACGTGGGCACTGACTGGCAGTGGAGGTGCGTGGCAGGGAGGGAGCGGGGCTGGGCTGGCAGATCCCTGCCCGCTGGGACGGGGACTTTTTGTGCCACTCCTGGGGTCCTGTGCAGCCCCCAGCCCCCTGGGAATAGCCCGGGGCTCGATGCCACCCCAGGTGCCTGCTGCTCAGAGCTGCGCTCCCGCTACAGCAGCACCAAGGACATGCTGCACACCCTCTTCGT